CTCTCTCTCTCTCTCTCTCTCTCTCTCTCTCTCGACAGACATTGTTATCAAACAAGAAGTACCGGACGGAGAGGTAATACCGATTGATAATCCGATGGACACCGACAGCGGCGGTGGATTCGCGTTCATCACATCTATGTTGGACTTAAACACTTTGGTCACCGCCGATGGGGCCGACACTCAATCCAGACAAACGGCGCTCAACGCCAACAACGCGTCCCAATCCACGGCTTTATCAGCGACTGGAGACCAGTTGTCAACCAATCTATACGAGTGTCACGTATGTGAGTACCAGACACCGGACCGGCAGTCGTATGTCAAACACTTGCCCACACATCACAACATCACAGCCGACACCACCGGCGCAACCATCAGATCATACCAAACACCTGCCGCCGCAACCATCACCAACAACAGGTCCGCTACCACTACTACCACAAACATCGCCGGCGAGCAATCGTGTTCAACAATGAGCGCCAGCAGCGCATCCAATCTAATCCGTGCTGACCTCAGGGGCACCGCAACGACAACAACGTCCATAGACTCGACGCCCGGCCACTATCAGTGCGAACACGAGAACTGCGACCGCGTGTTTGGCTCCCGAGCCAACTATGTGAAGCACCGGCTGATTCACGCCACGGGCCGGCCCTACCGGTGCCCAGTGGTCGGCTGTGACAAGCTATTCAAGACCAAGAACTGTCGTAACGTACACCGCGTGACCACACACTCGACCAAGAGTTACCCGTGCGATGTGAACGCGTGTCGCAAAGTGTTTAAGACTATTACCCTATTGAATAGGCATAAGTCTCGCCATAAATAGTCTCTACATGTCTTGTGTGTCTGTGGGTGTGTTTGGGATCAGATTGTGGTGATAAACATCGTGATGATTTGCAAACAATTCCCTATTTGTTGTTTATCACTAGTATAAACAATAGTTATAATAGTTAATCGATAATTATAACAAAGTTTTAAGTAACCACTTGTATTGTGTTGAACAGATTAAAATTTCATTATTTTTATTTATGGATTTATTTATTTGTAATTACCGGTAATTAATTTGTAAATATTAAAACAAATTTTGATACAAGTTTTTGTTATTATTTTTACAATTAATTAAATCTATTGTATTGATGTAAGAAATCTATTAAAATCATAATTATTTATTACAATAATTGTAATTACAAACAAAAAATACTCAACACATTATACAATAACTTATGAATACTGTATAACAATCATATCAATTTATAGTTAACTGTAAATCTATAACAATTGTAAAATTATTACAATAAACTATGCCAATTAAGTACTGTACATAATTGAACAGGCACAATATAAACGCCTCCAGTTTATAATAAATAATAATTATTAATAATAACTTAATTCAAAAATAATCTAAATTAAATATTAATTGTATAGTTTGTACGTAAATTTAAATAACAACAAATGGCAGCCAACGTGGTAACACAAATATTATGGTCAATATTCTGGTTATTAATCCTGATGTTCCTATCGCTGCCAATAGCCGTATGCGCGGCTCAGGTCTATATTCTGGTGTCAATCATATCGGCGCTGACCGACGGCGCCGACACTCTAAACCCGATTTTGGCAGTTTGTATGAAATGTGTTAATTTGCCGCAACTTTGTGCCAGAAATGTGACCACTGGTCAGTCATTAGACAAGTGCTTAAGTGAAGTGGACAGTAGTTATGGTGTTAGTAGAAGTGGTACTGTTGGAAGTGGTGGTAATGGACAGGCGTCTAATGATAATCAATCAATTGATCCAACCATTCAAGTGATATATAGGGCACATGAGGCTAAGGAAGTGCCTATTGTTACCGTACAAACACTGACACCGAGTGTATCGTTTGCTTAATTATGTTATTATTGTATTTATAAAACTTTATAGTATTTATAATTGATTGTAATTTTAATTAATATCGTTTAATTAATCAAAACGTTATTTCTACATATTTATTAATTTTCACAAAATATTACAAACATTTTTTACAAATATGTTATAAAATGTGAGTTTTAAATATTAATTAAATTAAATAATTTGTAAAATGTTTACATATTTAACCGTTGCATACGATTGGATACTAAACACACTATTGTTATCAGTAATTAATTTATTAATATTTATAATACAAATGGTGTGTTTTGTACCAATTTTAATCATTATAATAATTATGGCCATATTTGTAGTCCAACTCATCATCATGGCCATATTAGACTCTATAATAATTGTACTAGTTACATCATAACACTGGACTATATTAGTTTTCAAACAATAATGGTGTTTTTATAATTTGTTTATTACTCAATGAAAGGTTTGCATTAATTATTTGTTTTATAATTTATAAATTGTTTGTTTTAAATCTTAAATAATTATAGATTTTTATCTATGGATTTATTGGAGGAAAACAAGGATTTAATAATTGTATTCATTATTTAATACCTTATACGGGATTTAGTATATGAACACCATTGCCAAGATTATCAAGATTACTGCCAGTGATGGCAATGATTTATTAATTAACATGTTTGTTTTGTTGTTATTTTATTATAATAAATAGCAATTTAAAAATTATTAATATTATTTTAATATTATTACTGTTTTTATGTAACTAATAAAAGTAAACATTGTTTTATAGCAATATTTATTAAGTTTTAAATTAATATCATTTGTTGTAACAGAATATTCTTGATGTTTAATTTATTATTGCTAAACAAGCACAAAAAATACCATAATGTTTTTAAAATTCAATTCTGTATTAGTTTGTAAGTTTAAAGTAAAACTTATAAATTATAAACTTAAACGACTACAAGATTATCTATCGGGGACTAATAAATAATTAATTCAAAATATTGTAATAAATCACATAATCTCAATAACTAACATAGGGTTAATATTTTATTTCTTTTATAAATTACCATATTTAAATTGAAAGCACAAAAAATTAAATTAAAATCATCATTTTTTTTGGCACAAATTCATTGGGATTTAAGCTTTCAATTAAAATGTCATCCGTTTTATTACTTATGAGGGTTTTATAAGGAAAAAATCGCGCATGATAAATTTTTATTTTAATATTTTTTCAATTTATTTTAATACTTTATATGGTTATCAAATATACATAAGAAAAAAACATATTATTTTAATTAAATTTGTTTTAATAATATTATTTGGAGGCAAACAGAGAGATAGAGTGAACACATTAGACAAACAAAAATCAAAGTTTTAAAAAAAGTTTTATTTATTAATAAAATATAATGAATAACTTATATGTTGTGATGATTGTGGAGGTGAGAGGTGGGGAACCGGTGCGTGTATATGACACCAATGCCACTGCCATTGTATATATGTTGGTGTGTGGGGTCGATATGTCGGGGGTGTCCCAAAACAACACACCCACCAGTGATTAAATAGTATCCATAAACTACTGGCTATTTTAGCGGTTGGCTGGAGAGGAGAGTAGACACAGGGGGATGGGGTTGGGGTTTATACACAGCAATACAACATATAAGTATATTATTATTATTGTTATTATTACAATAATTAAAAAAGGGGTGCTAGGTGAAAATAAAACCATGGTTATGTAGCAAATGAGAGGGGGTATGTGAATGGGATGGGTGGGGGGCGTATAGATGGTTACAGACCAGTGTAGGCCGAGAACAGTCTGGACAGTATTGAGTTGGATCGGGCGCCCTTGGGATGGGTGCCGCCCGGGGGTAGCAGTGATTTGCACTCGTGATTGTTGGGCCCATAGCCCTGGCAAACGATGTCGGGCAGTCGGGAGAGCGCCATCCTTAGCAACAGGTTCATGAACTCCACCGCCTCTTTGCCGCATCGGCTTTCCACCAAGTTCTCGGTGCAGTGCACGAACCGCCGGTACGAACAGCATCCGGCCGGTATGCGTTTGTCCCATTCCACCTGGGTCACCACTTCCAGCGCCGCCTGCAGGTCCTTCACGCATATACGTTGGGTGCGTTGGGCGCCGTTCAGACAGGCCGCGTGCTTTAGGTAACTGTGCCTAAAGTTTGGTTTGCGAGGCATTTCAATGCATTAATAAAACACACATTTACTAGGACTTTTTACCCATAATTATACTACGACCATAGTGTAAATTTATTAACATATAAACACAATTACGCCCCTCATCTCTACCCTGCCCACTATCAGTACTAGCAAAATAACTTAAGGCTTTTTCATAAATATTACATAAGCTAAATCAGAAATAAACTAGTCAATAGCAGCAATCTAACAGTAAATATAGCGAGTTAATTTAGTAAATACACCAGTTAAAATAAGAAACCAAAAACAATATTATAAGTTAACAAGATTACTTTTAGGGACTGAATGGTGGCAAAGGAATAGACAAACAAAACTTAACTGTAACTGCGATCCGCGGCTACAATACTCTTTGAGCAGCCGCAACGAGCCCTCTGTCACAAACTGGATGAGCTCGCGCTGTAAGGGTGTGGCGCACCGGCGGGTATAGTTGCGCAGACAGAAGTCGGCCTCCCGTAGGAAACCGCACTGTTTATTGAGCTCGTTCTCCGAGGTGGCGATCCCGGCCGGATTCTGGGTGAAAACCAGCAAGGTGGCCGCGCACAGGTCCAACTCGCGCAGGTGACACGACTGGCCGTTGGCCACCGGCGCCGCCGTCAACGCCATGAGGGCGACCGCAAACAGACTGACCGCCGCTACGGTTGGGATGTGTTGTTGCGCTGACATCGATGTATGTTATGATCACTTGTGGATTATGTGTTATTAATGGTAACACTTATGGTGTGTATATTTTAAGCTATAGTGTATTTCTATGTGTGTATATCTCTAGTGTTGCCGTTTTTGAGGACACACCGTATCAGTGCCTGTCCTTTAAGGGACAACTTTCCTTTTGTGCAGTTGAGAGAGAGAGAGAGAGAGAGAGAGAGAGAGTGAGAGAGAGGACTGAAGATCTAAATGCAAAACACAATAACCATTACATGAATGAAACAAAATTTCAAATTCATAGGCGTTTCTCACTTATTATTTCACATTTAAATACAATTAAATATTGAATAAAAGTATTTGATGTGAAAAATGATTTTCAATTACAATAATTATAATACAATTTCTAGGTTTTGAGTGTAATTTGCTTATTATTTTACATTATGCTTAATATTTGAATAACAATTACATTTGCAAAATGGGAATACAATAACAAAATGGTTAATCTGTCCATAAGTTTTATACCTCGTATAAACTACCGTCTTTTATACATTCATCATTGTAATATTTATTTTAATGTAATAGATTTAATGGTTAATAACCATGTATAGTATAGTTTAATGTATTTTTAATATACAATTTAATTATTGTAACATATGTTATGTAAACATAGTTTTATATTAAAACTATAAATTATTAAAATATGAAAATAAATAATTAAATACATAATTAATAAATTCTGTTCACAATATTGAGAATTATTATACAATATAGGCGTTAAAAAGCGTTGGTTTATTGTCTAGATTGAAAAGTAGATATAGTTGTTAAAGTAATGTTGTTAGAAAATTATATATCAATGAAAAATTATATATTTTTGTTTTAAGAGCAAAAAATTCAAAACACTTTTACTGTATTTTCAAATAAATTGTGAATTTGTTTGAAAAAATTAATATAATTTTTCAGATTTTATCAATTAGTGAAAGGTGTTTGAAATGTATGTCAGCCCCTATACCCCCATAAGTAAATTAATTCATTGTGGTTATTGTACTTAACATGTTTGGTGCAAATTGGATATTTGCTTTTATGGTATATTTATTGTAATATACATTATTATACAGCAATTGATTGATTAACTGTTACTGTATGTAAAAATATTTATAATGATAATTAATAAACTATTTAAGTGTTGTTATCTCGTTTGATTTGTTCATTAAAACAATTAGCCTTTGTTTGCCAATAGTGTACAGAAAAATATATCTGATTATAAAATATTTTGACCATTTATGGTTAATTTACATTAAGCCTATTGTTTGGTTAATTTATTTAATTTATTATTATATTATTAACTGTTATTTAACATTTTTAATATATCTATTTTTTAATGTTATTAATAAATACGACAAAAATAAATGGTTGGTAATTAAACAAATATTTAATCACTAAAATATGCGATATGTCAATTTGTTTTTGACAATTATCATCACATAGACGTCAAGCAGTCTTGTGTTTTTATGCACACATTACATACCCAGATGTTTATTACAGATAATAATATATTGTTATTCAAATAAAACACATATTTATTACTAAAATTAATTATAGTAGAAATGGTTAGAGAATCGCCAAACTTAAGCAATTAAACAAAGTATCAATACATATGTATGAGAGCGCCGGGAGTGGTTTGAATACCGTTATTGATTATTACCATCATATCATAAGACATTACCCAATATCTAATACCCCGCATACACTTTATACATAATTTTACATTAAGGTAATTAACATGAAAACAAATTGGAGGTGATAATGATGTGTGTGGTAATAATCAATAACGGTATTCAAACCACTCCCGGCGCTCTCATACATATGTATTGATACTTTGTTTAATTGCTTAAGTTTGGCGATTCTCTAACCATTTC